GCGCAGTAGAAAGAAAATTATAAGATATATGGCAAATCATTACGTTATTCAAATTGCATTATTTTACTTTAAGCTGACAATATATTCTGGCACAAATCCGATTTTGATAAGACCAATGACATTTTCCTGGTTCATTTGTTCAAGGTTTGGCAATCCAAAATCCTTTGCGCTTCCATCTGCGAATGACAATAAATGAATTAAATTTAATAAATCGTGAATGACAATGCATGTTGGAAACCAGTGTTGGAAACCAGTGTTGGATACACTGTGTCTAGATACTTTAGCTATATCTATATCTATGTAGGATTCACATCTGACATACGACGTGTAATGTCCAATAAAAAAATTTATTTCCCAAAGATAAAAGTGTCACTAACTTAAACCAAATTCTCTTTTTGGATACCATTATACATCGATATGCAATATGAATCTTATATAAGTGAATTATCTAGATCTTTATAGGCAGAATTATCTATATCTATACTTGAATACTATTTTATACGATATCTTTTAAGTTTAGATACGTAAGTACAAGATATTTATTTATACATGTTATGTCATTATATTAGAAACTTAATTTTTATTGATTGTTATATATTACTGTTTTTTTCTAATTCTCGATTTTGTGCAAGTGCTTTTATTTGCTTTATTGTTTAAGTAATTTTAGTTCTTAATATTTAATAAGAATGACGATTAAAGATAACTTCATAAAAAGAAAGTGACAAACTGATCACTTGATGCAGTTTCTCTGATTGGTCTCAAGCACCAAAACTTATTACGAATGCAGAAAAAAATCGCAATTCGTCATATTAATAAATGATATTGTTTTGTAGTCTCTAAATTTTTATCATAAATTGGAAATTAAGTTGAAATTTAGTTTTTTTACTTATTTTTATCTTTATCAAAGGACTTATAATTTTTTTCATTTCAAACAAAGCCAAACAAACAACAGCTTTAAAGATTCAAATTAAAAGAAAAAAATAAGAATTTTATAAAATGCAGTAGTCCATCAAAATGACGTATATGTATTTATAATTTGTATTATCTAATAAACATTTCTATATGTATTACATAAGTAATAATTTTATATAAAAAACTTGTTTATATAAGCTTGTTATATTCCTTTTTCCATTTGTTTTTCTTTTTTTTTTTGTTAGAAGTATCTAAAAAAATATTTAAATTTATCATGTACTTTTATGTTGTACTTGTATCTATTACTCAGGTAATTTTTTTTAAATATATCTATAATTATATACAATACACACACACACACACACACACACACACACATAAGCTGTCTCATCTAACTCGAGCATCTGAAATATTTTGCTATTATGGTTTCTATGAAAAAATGTTTTCAGATGTAAATGAAATGGTTTCAAGGGGAATATATTTCGATCATATTATTTTTCATTTAGGTGGATCAAAAAGATATTAATTGGTCATCTCTACATTTTTAAATGGATTTATATGACTTTTTTACACAATATAAATCCTCTAATTATTCTGTATAAGAGATAAAAAAAAAACCAATAATTTAGTAGATATTTTATATTTTATTCTGACATATATTGACATAAAATATTAAATAACTCGGAAACTATTAATTTTTTCTTAATTGTACTTTAATAAACAGAATAACATGAATTAATTGTAAAAAATGTAATTGTAAAAAAAACACGTAGTTGCTTATTTAAAAAAATAATCCATTTTGTATACATATTTTTTTAAAAGCAATTAGTTTAAAAGTGTTTTTTTTATTCCACATTGATTCGTCTCATTTTATTCATAAGTATTAAGATGACAAAAAATTAATTGATTACGGATTATTTAATTATTATGTCATAAATCTACGTGTACAAATTCACGTTTTGGGTAGATACCTAAACTTTTTTTTCACATCCTCTTTCTCAAAAAAGAGGAGGAATATAATAATAGAAATGAAGAACAAATGCTTCTTATTCGCACTCCAGATATCATGACAAAAATCTCAGATTTATTATAATTATACACTATTAGAGAATGATTATCCTTCTGAGTTTATTTTTGAAACTATAAATTTAAGATTAAAATCGTTATTTTATAAACAAAAAAATACAAAATATGTCTCCAAACAAGAATACACATTTTGGTTTTTATTATATCTTACATTCCATCAATTTCAGATAAATTTAAAAACATTACCTTCTGCATTATATCTGAATATGAAATTAGCATTTTATAATTTGAATAAAGCTTAAAGAAGTATTATTAAAGTTTACAAAGACTGCCAGAATGTAGTGTATAAAATATCTTGCAAAAATTGCAACGCGACTTATGTGGAACTGATAGAAGGTTAAAAATTAATAAAATACAAGAATATCAACGTTACATAACAACATAACAATAACAATTCCAGTTTCACAAAGTCAGTTAATTATTGCAGATCATAAAATATCTTATAATCATGAATTTGATTGGTCAAGATATAAGATCGTGAGCGTTTATGCGAAGATTGAGTTGCTACATATACAAATGCAAGAAAATAATCTCAACATGCAATCAGACTGAATATTTACATCATGCATATGTTTCGATTTTAAATAAATTATAAGTAGAAATTAATGTTCCAATTGTTCTTTGTTTTAATATTGACTTTCACCTTAAGGCTAATTCTACAATGTGCTCTTTGTTTCCTGTTTTTTGCTGTTTGTCTCTGTTTGTCTCTTGCCTTTTTGGTCAATAAGAGAAGACACAAACAGCAAGAAACAGAAAACAAAAAGCACATTGTAGAATTAGCCTCAAACCAATAAACTACAAAAAATACAATGTAAATACATTGCTAACCAGAGAAATACAAAAAAATGAAATCACATCTTTTCTTATTGTTTTATCATTCAGAAAATAAGATAATAAGTTCGTATTTTTAATTTGTTTAAAGTTGCATATGTTATTGAAGTACGTTATTATATATCTTTTGAGCTGTTGAGCTGTTTATTAGGTTTGATTAGGAAGTGTTGAAATAATCGTATTTCATACATTTCGAGTCAGCTCGCGGCGGGCAATTGTGCGCAAACGTTTTAAAATGCACAACTGTCATATATATACATGAGAAGCACTAATTTTTTCATTTCTGCTTTGCATTATCATCTTATTTTGCATTATTATTTTATTTTGCTAAAGTCTATGTGCATTATTATTATTAGTTTTGCGTTTTTGTTAATATATATAATATATATTTAAAATATATTTTATATATATATTTATATTGCAATATAATAAATATATTTTCTAACTTTTTTGTCAATATTCCATAATTCATTCACTTCCTATGATTTTTGTTTTGCGTACGATTATTCAACCCATGCGCGTAATTATCCGATGCGCGAAAAATTTTTTCACTTTTCCGTTTTTTTCTTTTTGCCAAATATCTTATTGAATGAAAATCTGTTATGAAGATACATAATAGTAGAAAACTGTTTATAGTTTCTATTTCCATACTTATATTGTTTTAAACTTGGAAAATCATTTCAGGACAATAAATTTTTCTTAGGTGCGCACAATTCACTTTCTCCTATTACTAATGCTATTATTGAATGATGTTTCGCTTTTCCCTAGATGTATTTCTGATTACCCAAGTTGTGTCGTTGTTATAATAAATGAGCGAAATACTTAAAATTTTTTTAAATGCTTATGTAAGTATATAAATATGTTTACAATTTAATATTGTATTATGTATTATGTATTATGTATAATAAAAGGTTTATTATTTGTAATAAATATAATTATGAAATATTTACTTTCGTATTTTTATTTCTTAAAAAATATATTATTTTTTTATATCTTAGATTGCATTTCGGTGGTTACTATCAGCGTTAAAAATTTAATTCACATTACATATATACTATGAATTTTCAGTACTGGAAATGAATTTTGAAGTACATTCTTAATAATGACATTAAAATTTAAAAATAATATTTAATTTAAATTCGGTAATTGTTGAGCTCTCGACAATTGTTTCTACCATTTGGTTGCTTTTTTTGTGCAAAAATCGTCGAATGAGCCTAATTTTATCAACATCATATGCAAGAAAACTAATTTAACAATTTTCCAAAAAATAACAAAAAAGAAACGTTTTCAAATATGGTAATAATAATGCGTTATTTTTAAAAATGATTAACTAGTAACAATAACGAGTTATTTTTAATAAAAAGTGTGACGGGGGTAACGCGTTATTTTTTAAACGTTCCCAACTTTGATCTACCTTTCAAATAGTATCTGTTCCAACATTGCTTGAAACAATATTTGCACGATGATTTATGATCAACAACAATTATATCGAAATGATAAATCTTCCATAATTAGAATTAATATAATTAAGAAATACACGAGAACCTAATCAATTGTGTTCTTACAATGATAGCTTTATATAATAATTTATTAAATTTTTTAAAACTTTGAGAACTAAAACTTTTGTTTTTACAGCTCATACCTGAATAAACGAATATAACTTTAATAATTGTTCCAGCGATGCACCTTGCGATGAACAATCCATATTATTCGATCTAATTCGCGTATCTTGACTCCTTTTACCTTGGCCCCATCCGGTAGAAAAATTTAATTGAGCTTCACCGTCCGCAACAAGGATTAAAAAAAGAAATGCTATACCAAGTAAACTCATAGACATCTTACAGAACCTTAAAAAAAATTATATCATATTACTGTATAAATAACGAGAATTATTATACTTTCATATAAAATTATTAATTGTAAATCCCAGCTCTCGGAGATAGTAATAAATTGAATTTATAATATGATAAATAAATGATCAATATTTATGTATGTTTTAAATATTTATTAGTTTCGTTATATTATAAATATTTATAGTGTAAGGAAATAATAATATTTATATAAACATTACTTTATTATTGTAATAATAAAATATTTTTGAATATTTATACTAACACCGTGGATGCGTTAAATATGCATAAATGTTATGCGTATGTAAAATATGCTTAAAGCTAAGAATATTTCTTGAAGGAAATCCGATATACATTTATAATAATGCAACCAAAAATACTAGCTATATGCAATCTTTTATAATAGAAAAAAATTTATAAATTCTCTAAAAAGGAATTTTGAAAAAACTGTTGATTCACAAATTTTTACACTTAGTATGAAATTTAAATAAAATCTCCGATAAAATAAAATATGCTTCTAAAATCTCTTTTTCTTTGTATTAATAATTGCGTTTGCTTCAAGCACCTGTGTTATTCGCGTATCGAATATATCAATTAGATATATAGTCATTATGAGCAAACTTGACTACTTGTAACGAGCCAAAATAATCGCACTATTCCCACAAGAAATGAGAAGAAAATAAAAAACAAAGAAAAGAAAAAGAAAGACTCACATGGTAACACTTTTTTTACAGATATACAGAATGGTCTAATTTTTGTTAAAGATAACGCACACAATGCCGATGTGCCAGAGAACTCGTTTACGAGTCTTTAGATGCGGTTGCTGGTTTTATACATTACTGGACCCCTTACTTTAACGCGCGCGCACATTACAACATCTCGATACACTCGATCGCTATCCCAAGAGGGATAATGAAAATTCTGCGCCGGCGTTAAGCGTTTCATTTTGCAAACTGTCTTGGAGATCATTTCTTGTGCGATTCTAGCACAGAAGTCGAGGCGCTAATTGAGATATAAGAGATTGTGAATAATATGCAGAGATAAATTTAAAGATATAATTTACGATCGTGATATTCTTTATAATTTTGATTGCGACTTTATTACCTTGCGAGGCCATCGATTGTTTTCTGTGTGCACACACGTATACGGTAATTAGTATATGTCGAGTATATATCGATGAAATTCTACACGTTATAGCTACACCAAAATGAATATCAAATATTTATTTGCTACATTTGCAGTGATATCAAAATATGAAATTATATGCTCTTGATATCACCTTTTTTTTAATAATCTTCATATATAGATGGGGTGTTTCGTACAATTGAGAAAGTAATAATGTTATATAAAAGAAAAGAAAATAAATCAGAGGTGTAAAATAAGATACAATACAATATGTTATTTAAAAAAAAAAAATTATTTTAAAAATTGAAGAATTAATAATATATAGAGAAAATTTTACAAAGTAGAAGAAAGGATTCGGGATTTTTCGCTGATTTTGCTTCATCGCGTTTTTTCCTCTCAATTTTATATATTTATTACTAAAAAATAAGAAAAAAATTTAATAAGACTGATTTACATACATATGCTCTATATATATAAAATCCTTAATAAATTAATCAGATTATCAAAAGTCAATATTGAAATAATATTTTCAAAATTTTCCAACTTTATGCAATCAAAGCGCAAGTTGACTATTGATACAATCTCATATTAATTGATTAAACTTGTAAGAAAATTAATCAAGGATTAATCTTTCAAATTTTTTGTTTATCATTGCAATAACAACAGTTATTAAGATACACGTGTGCATATAAAGAGAAAAGCATTTCAATTGTGCACATTTTAACTTTATAATAGGAAATCGATATACATCTCGATATAACAGCAATATAATTTCTTTTTACAAAAATGGAGTTTATTATTTTTTTAAATTATTGTGCACAAGGGTCGTCATTGTGTATGATTATGTCTAAAGAAGTAAACTGTATTGTTTGCGTCATTTGTTGCTAAATTAAATTAGTGCGTGCGACCGTGACGCTCGAGGGCTTCCGACTAATTTGTTAACGAGGGACATAGCAGGATGTGAAGCCTCACCGATTATTTCATTAGTCAATATTACATATCCAACAAAGTATATTGAATTCTCATGACGATATCGTCGTACGATCATATGTCGTAATGTAACAAATTACTATTTTTAAAAATGTACTTTTATACACATAAAAAAACTTTTTGTACAAGCGCACGACATTGGGGTGATTAAAATAGGAAAATGTGTATTCGAATTTCACTTTATTGCTACAAAAAAGAAGTTACATATAATGAGCTAAAGATGAATCGAAGAGAAAGGATAATGCGTTCATATGTGTTGCCATCGATTATCACATATTAAATTGTTCATGATAGTTCTTATTTTTTTTAATAATGTACAAGCTTGTGTACACGCATACACGTTATATTTATCGCGTATATATATATATATATATTTTTTTTTTAAATATCTAATTATTTGAATTTTTTACAGAACGTTTTTATTAATATGTAGACATTGTAAGATCCAATTAAGATTTAGTTATTAAGATCGTGTCAAAAAATTCCTGATTTTCCTCTATCTTAAAGGCAGTGTCGAGTAAACATTTATCAACAGTATTCATGAACTCTTTATATTTTATGATCTATTGTTCAATTCTGTGAATAATAGAAATTACAATTACAGATGTATGAAACTGGTGAGGAATAATGATAATGCTAATTTTTTTACAGTGCCGTGTGAAGTGTCGTACAAATTTCACGGACAAGTCTCTTTAAGGATCTTTTTTAACAAGTATATAAGAAAAACGCTAGTTCGCAGAAAATTACAAAATTCTTATGTTCCTCCACACATAATGAGCTAATATCATTAATAGAATAATTAAAAAAAATCGAGCAATATTTAGTAATTATTATCAGTTGTTGCATGCCAAATGGATTAATCTATTACAATTATTATCCTAATTTTTATCATATAAACTTTAAATTGAACATCTTTGAAAAACAACGCTTGCCAAATGTCGCCTCAGTGTAAAAATGAAGTGAACAACACGGCAGTGCACAAGAGTTAAATTTTATATTATATAACTCTTGTTATGTATAGATCTGTTACATTTTATTCATTTCTCATCTTAATCATTATTCAATAGCAAGCCCCTAAATAAAACTCATAGACATTCCTAAAGGAACATTCGAAATCTGTTCTTCAACTTTTGAGATCACACGCGTCCATCTAAGTTACTATTATCATATATTATACATATATTATATCTATACGAATTAGATTTTACGATATGTACTAATACTGCGTGATACGTTGAGTTCTTTTCAATATTCGATTAACAAAAAGTAAATATCAATGTTCATTTTCGATATCTTTTGTAAATATTAAATTATGACTTTTGATTATGATTGCTTTTATGAATAAAATATGTTATGTCCAATTTTTTCTTAAGTATAAAACACAATTTAACATTTCTCGGTTATTTATGCACACAATGAATGAATTATTGAGAATTTACCGAATATAATTATACATATATACAAACTTTATCAAAAAGGATTTGAACTTTCTAAAGGATATATCCTCTGGAAAGATTCTCTAGAGGTATATTTCTAGAGAATATCATAATATTCATTTTATTACAATAGACGATATTATATGTAAACCTCATGATAAGTATCAAAATACACTCAACAAACGTTCCTTCATTGTATCTATTTATTTGTCAATGAATTATAAAAAATGGTAAAAATCAGCGCATAAACAACCGAAGAATATTTGTACGAAAATATGTCTCAACGTAACCACATGCAGGTAATATACATATGTATGTGTGTGTGTGTGTGTGTGTGTGTGTGTGTTTTGTCATCTTTATTATATATAAGAACCTTAAAAATAATAGTATCCATGTATACCTAAATACTTGTCAATTGGCATGAAGATATAGCAAAAATGACAGCGTTAATAATATTAAAAGTCAATGAAGAATACGAAGAACAAATGTCCATGACAAAGATGTGTTGTCCCAAAGCTATTTGCGAGCCGTGATACACAATGATCTTATTAGTATGAGTTATTATTTATGGAAAAGAGAAAGATTAATGTTCAAAGCGCGCTATGGCACTCGATCTTCATGCGTCATTTCTTCATTTGTCTATACTTGGATACAGTTGCTTATAACGATAAAGCTTACTGACGGAACAACATTACGAACAACCTTGCGATGAGAATAATCTTTTCGATTCTTATGAGAAGTGTACATATAATAAAGGGTGAATATATCCAAAATTGTTTGCACTATATTAATAGATTCAAACAGAATATTGCACCAGATTGCTAGCGGAAATCGAGCATATCATCTTTCGTAACCATTTAAATAGTATATATCATTTTCCTGCCGTCAATCTGCTTATATTCTGTTAATTTTGTTATATTTCTGTTACCATTTTGCCAATAAAATTTGTAGTAGACTTAGCTGCCTGCATATATATATATGTACGTGTATATATACAATATACAATATGCTTATATATGCATAATTACACATGCACGCACGCATGCATGCACGCATACATATATTTTCATTTTGCAATATATATTGAATATAACAATACGTATGCAATCATTTTGTATATGTTCATTTTGATAATAATGATGATATCATTACGCTAGCATCATATAATATATGTATATCTTCTTTCTCATTCTTCTTTCATATATAATTATTAAAATATTATATAAATTAAAAAAAACAGAAGAGTGGTGCTGTATATTTTTTATTCTCATAAGAAGACTTGTCCATATTCTTTTAC